TAACCATGGCATCATTGAATGGTCAAGAATAGTTTAACCATGGCATCATTGAATGGTCAAGAATAGTTTAACCATGGCATCATTGAATGGTCAAGAATAGTTTAACCATGGCGTCATTGAATGGTCAGGAATAGTTTAACAATAGCATCCTTGCACTGTTGAATGGCCAGGAATAGTTTAACAATAGCATCATTGCACTGTTGTATGGTCAGGAATTTATCAAGAATCAAAGATATAGGTGCTAAATATAACTGTCCATTGCCCATAGTGCCAGGACTTGCATCTGTGGCAGAACACTACTCTTTTAGTATACATACATTTTGTTTTTAAATAAAGCATGATTAGCTCTCCATTGAATGTGGTAAAATGTTGGTATTTTGAAACTTACCTAAAGACGTGGGGCGAGGTAAAGTTGCAATACCTCCACTTCCAACATCCATACTGTGGAGCTGAATACCTCTTCTATAACTAGGACAATAAGTTCCACTTTTGATATCCTTAACTCTCTTGATAGCCAACATTATCTTCTTCTGATGACCTAAACACCCACAGAAGGTTGTTTTATGGAAACAACAGAAATGTTGAACCAGAAACAGAAAAAAAAAATATTAGATAATGGAGTAGGATATACTAATACTTTATGACAAATATATTGTAGTGTCTCAGGGATTCTTAAAACATGCTAGAAGTAGTAACAAAGGCAGTAAAAATAATTATCTTCAGAAAATAACTTCACTCTTAACAATAAGCTGAAAGTCCTGTCAGTGCTGGATTTTAGCCTCTTACAAAAATAATTAATATACCCATTCTTTAAATGGCAAAAAAAATAAAACAAATTGCATTATTATTAAATATGGCAAAAAAGAGTAATAGTACCTAAACAGTTAATCCTGTAATTAGCAGTTTTTTAAAATAGAACCTACCAAGTTTTTGGATACCGATTTCTTCCAAGTCTTCCCATGTCAGTTCTGTAACACGGTCAACAGTGTCATAACCTTCATGACACAGTGTTTTGTAATATTCTTCAAGTCTCAGTAATTGAAGCCATTCCAGTAAAGTGTTCTGGTAAGAGTATAACAAAATTAAAGTGTTTTTATAAATACTTTTAAGTACAGTAGCAGAAAATATCTCGTGAAAGTTTTAATGAATGTGCCGTAACGAGTTGTCTATCTTCAATATATCTGTATAAAACAAGATAAACGCTAAACCTTAAGTATGAACTGTTCTATGTATAATTATATGTATTTTAAGATTAGATTAACACATTTGTTCTCATGAAGAATGTTTAAGTATAAAGTGGAGTTATAAAAGTATATAAAATGTTGACAAATAAAGATGAATATTTATCCATTACTACTAGTATTATCTTCACAAATTTGCTTATTTTTGTCTGTTTGATTTTGGAAGATTTCAATTTTTTATATGCATGATTATTCTAATTTATTTCGGACATTCCATTAGACAGTTACAGGAGGAAAAAAAAATGACCTTTCCTGTAAAAAATGTTTACACACTAATATTAAAACAAAACCAGAATACTCTTCCAGAAATGGGCTGATAGAACCAAAATTCAAATGAAGCTAGTCCTAATCTATTGTATAAAATTCAAAAGAAGCTAGCCCTAATCTATAGTATAAATTCAAATGAAGCTAGCCCTAATCTATAGTATAAATTCAAATGAAGCTAGCCCTAATCTATAGTAAAATTCAAATGAAGCTAGCCCTAATCTATAGTATAAAATTCAAATGATTCGTATTTGTAAAAATACATTAACTGTTATTTTCTGTTACACAAATATGTTAGCTGTCCATGATCTGCTAAAAAATGTAGCAGTTTCGAGTTTTCATGTTCTTAATATGTTGTACTAATATTAAAAATTGTTACAGGAACAAATAATTCTTATTAAACTAAACATGAAACAAAACCTTAAGAGCTTGACAAAAATACTAATATTGTGCATTCTTATTACAAAACAACAACAAAAAAACTATACATTATGCTATAATGCTTACAGGTTTGAATTCTGGTATGCCATCTGTTATATTTAATCTGTCGATCTCAGCCTTAAGTCTACGACGGTGAGTAGGTTTTTTGATGCCAATAGCTGTTAAGTCCTAGAGGAGAAAACTGATAAATAAAGAAGCTTTCAAAGCAAACCATTTAAAGCTTATCGTGATATTATTTGGACTTTAGTATAAAATAAGGAAATTACTATTTTTTAAAAAACAAGATCAATAAGAAAAAGGAGAAAATTTTAGACATAACACGTAATAAAAAATATATAAAAATTAAGTATGACATAGGGATGGCTATGCCAAAAATACAGAATCAAGGTAGGGATGAATACACAAAACAATACAAAAAAATCCCGACATAAGTAGCCAAATATTTCCAAGAATAACTTTTATCTGCAGCTAAATGTTGAATTCCTGTCAGTTGCATGAATTCCAGTTTGAATAAAAACATTTAAACTGAATAGTGCTATACAATCTTATAGTGGCTACAAACCATAAGCTTGTAAGATTGACTTACTTACTGGCTACTTATATAGGGACTTTTGTATATTCTGGCACTGCCATCCCTACATCATACTTAATTTTTACAAATATTTTTATTACTTGTTTTCCTTCTTTTTTATAATTCAATGGTAACAATTTGTGCTTCCATCTAGCGACTAGAAATGAAACTTATTTATGAAACACTGAAATAATAATAATATATTCTTAACTGGACTCACTGCTAAGTAGTAGCTTTCCTTTTTATTATTTCCCCACAAATTATGTGTGGTTGAAGAACATAATAATATTACTGTCATACAAGTTGTGAAACACTCAAATAAGGCTATTACTCAACTTTAGCAGTTATTTGTAAGCAACATGGATAGAGTATTAATTGAATGCAGCGGCCATTCTTTTCTCAGTCCATCCCTATAAACCAAGCACTACTGATACCCTGGTCCCAAATATTCTTAAAATGCTTTTCTGTAGTACTAAAGCCATTGCGGAAACTTCACACGTTTTTTCGGTTAGGGTGGGAGAAGAAAGATGAACACTTTGGTTCTTTAGCTAGTTCCAGTTTTCCATTTTAGAAACACTTTTCAATGATGCTAGGAGTCTCACAAGCTGTGAAACACTCGATAATGTCAATTAGGTGCTCAAATAAGGTTATAACTCAATTTTAACAGTTATTTGTAAGCATCATAGAGTAATATTGAATGTGGCAGCCATTTTTTTTTCTTGGCTCATCCCTTATACATACTAAGCACACTTCCGTGCTTAGCGATAATTTACCATAAACTTTTAACTGTCACAGAGTGAAAATAAAAATTACATCTGTACTTGCAAATTGAAGTGTGGGTCCCATTTACTGCAGAAAACATTTTGATAGAAGGTTACGTCATTTGGTAAACTTCAAAATTTATCAATGTTATCATTACAACTGTAAATAACGTTTGTTGTATTTTCACAATCCAACCTACGTTAGTTTGAAAAATAATGAAAGCTATTGTATGCGCTAATAATATTCAACAACAACTTAAAATTATGTTAATAAGTTGTTTCAAGAAGTCGAGATAAGTAGCAGTATTGGATACATCACAAGTACAACTATCCGAGAAAAGCCACAAAATGTTCCAAATGGTGCCTTTCCACCACATGTGGAGTCTCTTGTTCTAATAATAAAGTGTGTGATAGACACTTGGTTAAACAATAAAGTGTGTAGTAGACACTTGGTTAAACAATAATGTGTGTGGTAGCAACTTGGTTAAACGTTTAACCAAGTGTCTACCACACACGTTATTACACACGTTATTGTTTAACCAAGTGTCTACCACACACGTTATTGTTTAACCAAGTGTCTACCACACACTTTATTGTTTAACCAAGTGTCTACCACACACGTTATTGTTTAACCAAGTGTCTACCACACACTTATTGTTTAACCAAGTGTCTACCACACACGTTATTGGAAGACACTTGGTTGCTGTTTAATGGACTTTCATTAGTCCACGACTCTAGTAAGTTATGGATGTACTGTTGTTATGTTTATCAAGTAAAAGGGAACTGGTGATAGTGTGTGAAGCAAACATTGGTCTTTGTAAGTAAACTTGTATTCCTTTCTTTAATATTTGTAAACATTAAAAACTATGTTATGTTAAAATATTTAATATTAGTTTACATATTATATCCTATGGTTGAGATATTACCGAATTATGGCCAAAACATCACCGAGTGTACATCGCAGCTAATTGAATATACTGGTCGAAGTAAGAGTATGAGTTTATAAGTTTGTAACGATATAAGAATAGATAGATCCGTCACTTGGATACTGAACAGAGTTAAATTCGTTTCTTTCTCTTGCTTTCACCAGAAGTGAATGATGGTTATTTATATTGTAGAATTACAAACGTTTCTATCTTGTATACAGAAAATAAAACTGAAGGGTAGGCTTCACTGATTACCTCTGGAGTCATGCGGGACACGGTTGTCATGTCGTAACCAGCCTGAGTAAACAACTGAATGTAGTCTTCGAAGTATAGACTGGTGAGCCAGGCTTGTAGAATCTCGATGTCCTGACGAGAAAGAAAACAAAAAAAAGGCTTACTGTTTTTATATATGTTCGTTTGTTGTTTTGTTTTCACATAAAGAAAAAAAGTCATTTTCAATAATCAAACGTTGGGAAATGACGAGAAAGAAAACAAAAAAAAAGTCTTACTGTTTTTATATATGTTCGTTTGTTGTTTTGTTTTCACATAAAGGAAAAGAAAAAGTCATTTTCAATAATCAAACGTTGGTAATTTAAAGTACAGCCGATAGGATTTTGTTCTAAAAACTAATGACCACAACAAATCTGTCCTCAAAAGCGCACACGCTGCACTAATGATAACCTATAACATTACGAGAAGTCTACTAGTACCAAATGTCAACATGAACTAAAAAAACAGCTGACGATTATTGATTTCATTCTGTCTGCTAGATTTGGAGCCATAAACGTGTTTCTCGGTTTACAACGCTTGAAATAAACACACGTCAGAAGTCCAAAAACCAATCACACATTTTATTACAATATGCTAACAGCACAGAAATCACGCGGTACATCCACACGAGATACCACAGAAAAAAATTTTCTAGTTAATAAAAGACAATTAATATAACCTTTCTGAATATGCAGGGCTTACCATGGGATACATGAGAAACAACATTTAGTAAAACTATGAAATACAGTCCCCAACAATAGCAAGAAACAAAACAATACTTTTCTTAGAAACACCGTATCAAACAGCTGGTTTCGATCTTACCGACTGGCTGTTCTTAAAGAAGCCAAAATCTTTTTATTACGTGTTTATATAGAACCTCTGGCAAAAAAAAACTTTATATAAAACCGGTACCAGATTCTGATTACACATCACACAAGGGATTAACCTCATCTAATTTCCCACTTTCATACATTTGTATAAACTACGACAATCACCTCTCTGTGCCTAGAGCACGATGCGGTTCTTTTTCCTGGAGCAGCTTTACCAGGACATTGACTTTTAACGTTTGGCTATCGATGCGACAATTGTTTGCAGAAAATCAATAAACCTTTAGCACGCCAGGAATAAGAGAAGACTTTTAATTTGAACAAACATTCTGTAGTGTAAATATTTAAAGTCGCGCACGTGCAAGACACCAAACCTGGCGGGGTTTAAAAAAACAACAATAAATACCATTATGTCCAAAGAGTGTAATTTACACGCCGTACTAAGATATGCTAATAAGAGGGAGATAATCAAGTTTGTTTTGGGTTTACGGCATCTTTTGAAGGACGCCGTTTCACTTCAAGCAGCCACAATAGAAAACAAGTAATCGCGAAATAACGTTAAAATGCTTTTAAGAAGGTTACTAATTCCTACGTACGAGTTTAATTCATTAAACCTATTCAAGGGCTTCAGTAAACGGGCTGACCTTGTAATATTCTTCCTATTCTCGTGTTTCTGCTTCACCGATCACTACTTTGTGGCAAGTCCGCAACGAATCATGTACGAACGTAACTTATCCAGAAACAAATACACGCTACGTCTGTTGTCAACGGTTTCGTTTTGTATGATACTATGTTAATTGTAATGTAACATTCCAACTTTATTTTACGCGTTGTACCGCCGTAAATTTCATTAACGTCCAAACTAACTCGCACATCATTGTAAAAAGTAACCAATAGGTAGCGCTCGAATCGTAGCAGAACGCCGTTTCGGTACTTTTTTTTTTTTTTTTTGACAATAAGAATTGTTTTACAGAAACTATGTTCGAAATTGACCACAAGCATATATCAAAGAATATTATCGTCGCCTCATTCTGGGATGTTGTGCCAACAAGCTCGCGCTGCCCGAGTATAAAACATTTAGTGTTTTTGTCGATTTATAAAACGTTTTCTATAGATGCAGTACAATTTGCCTTTTTCTTTATACTCTATAAACACCGGATGTGAAAGGAGCAAATAAATAAACGATAATTTATTTTAAATGAACCAATAAAAACCGGACGTGAAAGCAAGAGGGAAATTTGTAATTTATAGATTTCTATTTTATTTTCGCTCTATTACACCCGAAGTACATTGTAATATTATTATTTACAACCTTGCAGTACACACCTACTGCACGGTATAATCAGCGGACTGGTTTTACTGTAGTAACAATGTATAAAATATTGAAAAACATTTTCCGAACAGAAACCATAGTTTTCTACTGTCACTAGTTCTGAAACTTTTTTGTTTTTAATTGGGTTTCTATTTTGTTAATTTATTGTTTTAGCCATTTTATTTTGTATTAAGTAAAATAACAATAACAACAACTAACACTGGTAGAAGTACGTTATATTTAGAGGGGAGGGGATTCCAGCACTGGCTACAAACGTACATATAATGAAACCTTCCTAAAGATATGTTCGTTTGTTTTAGAGCAAAGACATAGGCCACCTGGTGTGTCCCCCGCGGGGAATCGAACCCCGGATTTGAGCATTTAAACTTCATACGCTTACCACTGTCCCACTATTGGACCTTCTCTAAAGAGAAAAATTTTGTGAATAACTCGATTAAACAGCTAACAAAGAAACAAAATACCTTTAAACTGAACACAGTAAAAATAATAATTTCCCTCGAATACTGTTTTATTGTTGTAAATTTTACAACCATATTTGTTATAATGAGCCTGTTTTATTGTTGTAAATTTTACAACCACGTTTGTTATAACGAGCCTGTTTTATTGTTGTAAATTTAACAACCACGTTTGTTATAGTGAGCCTGTTTTGTTGTTGTAACTTTTACAACCACGTTTGTTATAACGAGCCTGTTTTATTGTTGTAAATTTTACAACCATATTTGTTATAGTGAGCTTGTTTTATTGTTGTAAATTTTACAACCACGTGTTATAACGAGCCTGTTTTGTTGTTGTAACTTTTACAACCACGTTTGTTATAACGAGCCTGTTTTATTGTTGTAAATTTTACAGTCACGTTTGTTATAACGAGCCTGTTTTGTTGTTGTAACTTTTACAACCACGTTTGTTATAGCGAGCTTGTTTTGTTGTTGTAACTTTTACAACAGTGTTTGTTATAGGGAGCCTGTTTTATTGTTGTAAATTTTACAAGTGTTTGTTATAGCGAGCCTGTTTTATTGTTGTAAATTTTACAACCACGTTTGTTATAGTG